CGAATAGAAGCTACTCCCTCTTTTTAGTCCGAAAAACTCTCAAAATTTTGGTAGCTTCTATTCGGTAATATACGGTAACATCTTAGAGAATCTTTATTGGTTACATGTATTAAAAGTCGGAAACATTTAGTCAAAAAAGATCATTTGGGCTTTAAAAAAAGGGTTGTAGTATAATAGCTTGACCCAGCTTGAAATTGATCTGATCGGCTTATATGGAGTCGAAAGTTAGCTAGGCTTGGGCGTTAGAGATGGACAAAATGCGCATTTTGCCAATCATCATACAGTCACCATGCAGTCACCATGCAGATTATGCAGATTATGCAGATTGTAATGTGCTAATCATGCATGGTAGCTGCATGGTTGCCCATCTCTAATTACAGAGTTACTGATCGGCTTATAGACGATTCAGCTCTGATTTGTGGAGCCGAAAGATCGGCCCGGCTTGATCCAGCCAGTTTGCATTACTAGCGATACTTTATAATCAAAAATAATATTTTATCAACAGGATCATCTATACTACAAGAGATTCTACTATTCTATCCGGCATATTATATGAGAACCCACAGATTGTTGTTGATCAAAGTTGCCTATCACTATTCAAAGAACCTTTATGTAGACTACTCACATAGATACGTAATCAATTAAAATTTTTGGAATACTGTGATAATTATTAAGAACTTATAAAATAATTACCGCCATATAAAAACCAATAAGAGCTATATACTAAATAAAAACACTGATAAGTAACTTGTATAAAAATTTACAATTCTGCAATTATACGAAATCTTGTATATAATTGGATCAAAAGTTGATTTTCTAAATACAAAAATCATATTTTTGCTTATACATATATACTGCAAGTTTGGCAGGTGACTTAAAAAAAATTATAATTACATATCGATATATACAGTATATTAATCAACAGATGTTAATAAGTTATAAATTTATACTGTATAATAATATATATATATATTTTAAAACAAATGTTTATTTTGAAAATTGCTCGTTTGCAAAAATTTACTTTCTAAAAAGTTTTTTTTTAAACAATTTTACTATAAAAACTGCAGACTTCTAATTTCAATGCTAACCCTAACATAAACGAAACATAAACGAAACATAAACGAACATTACAGTATATACTGTATATAAAAATTTTTGTCAATTATCATGTGAAATTTGGTTTGATAATTAATCCGCGACTTTTTCATATAATTGCTCATCCATTTAATTTAGCATATCAAAAAGACAAAGTATTTTAAATTTTTTAACGTTGATTATTCGTTGCATCTAATTAATGCAAAGACCTATTTATAGTATATCGAAACACAAATTAATAAACTTAATTATGCATGATAGCATGGTCGCACCATTCGCTAATAAAGAATCTTTTAAAGTCGTACGCTTGTTTCTGGTAGCAAATTGAAACATACTCTTTTGCATTTTACCTCCCAATCTTAAAACATCTTAGCTTTCGCTTCTGAAGGATGGCTGTTCAAGAATCTACTACACGTATCAGTCAGTTACTGCCGTCAGTAAACTGTGCCGATTGTGGTGAAGCGGTGGAGTTTCGAAAACTTGGAGAGCATATATGTAAGGCTGCTCCCGCCGTTCCCGAATTGCCTAGCGTTTACAAGAATAGTGCTAAAAGACCAGGTACATCATTACCTTTTATTTTTCTGCAGCAAGTACTGTTTTTTAAAAAATAAAATAATAATATATATTTCTTCAGGTAACAACGTTTCAGGCATAAAAAAACAATCTAATAACTCGAGACCTAATATCGACCTTTTGCCTGCTACTGGTACGTTCAATTTTAACTTATTTATCCCGTTTTTATTGTGTCCATTAATTTTACTTTCTTTTTAGATGAGAATTTACGTGATAATCGTCTGTTACCCCGATCTCCCTCACCTTATGATGCTACTCCATCTCCAACTGATTCTGGATACTCCAGTTATTCAAGTAAATATTCATCTCCACCTTCTGCAAGTTCTCCAAACGGAAACAAACCTTTTCTTCCGTTCATGCAAAAATACCAACAAGCCACCGGAAAACCAATAAATTCGCCATCACAAACGTCGTCTGAACAGAGAGATCGATTACAGAATAATTATAATATAAATGGAAACAATTATTCTAGCAAATTTTCAAATAACTCTGATAATTTTGACAGCGAAGTAATGCCAAAACACAGACCACATGATGCATATGGGTCATCAAATGATAATCGTAGTCAAAGACAGGATCGCTATTTGCGAGGTCCTAATGACGTTTACAATAATGATCATAAGTATCGAGAGGAAGAGCGTAGTCGAAGCAGATCACCTTCGGGATACGATCGTACCAATGATCGATCTGATTACAGTTCAAAATTTTCCCAACCTTCATCAAATCAGTCAAATGGCACAAGAGATTACGAACAGCTCTACAAACCTACTTATGATCAAGATGATAATAAACCATTGTACGGTTACGTTGATTCTGGAATGCAACATTCTCACAAACATTCACAAGAGAAAAATAACGTTTCGCCACAATACGTACCTCCGCTGTTCGATCAGGGTGGTAAAAACCATAGAAAAAATGAGCATTCATTATCTTCTTTAAATTCTAGCACATCTGGTCGTGGTATGTAGATTTATGATTATTGGTGCTTTAAAATTTTATATACTGTTTAAATTCTTTATAATCACTTTCTAATTCTAATAAGTCTGTGCTTATAAAGAATTAGTGATTTATAGTGATCAAATTTTTTATATAAAAGTCAATTTGTTTTATATTTGTTTTATATTTAACCTGATTTTATCTTGAACTACAGTAAAGTATCCAGATACGAATAAAGGAATTTCTGATGACTCTAAAGAACTCTTTGGTAGTGGATTTGATGATTTGATGGAAGACTTAATGAGAGAGATGGACAATATGCAAACTCCTGCTTCACGAAGTGATGGTATCGGAGGACCGTATTCAGGCCATGTGAAAAATAAATCGTCATCCGGAAGGAAAGAGCTTCATATTTGTGCTTATTGGTATGTGCTAATTATGTATTTATAATATTTATGATATTTATGATATTTTATGATATTTTATGGTATTAAGATCTTTATTCATTGTGTGCTTAAACATTTATTTACTTTATTTAAGCAATGTACCAATTGATTCTTCTCCAATGTGGGCACTCAATAAAGCATGGCATTCATATCACCTTCTTTGTACACAATGTCATAAACCTATCGACCCAAACGTAGGACACGTCGAAAGAAATGAAAAGGTATACTGTCCAAACGATTTTGCTGATCTGTTTTTACCAAAGTGTCGTAGATGCCACCTACCAGTAGAAAGAGAAGCTGTAAGTGCGAGCGATGGAAAACTGGAAGGAAAGTGGCATGTGAAATGTTTCAACTGTCATGTAAGTATTGGGTTATCATTGAATTATTGATTTGCTTTATTTGCTTTATTTGGAATTCTGTAACTTTTCATAAACCACTCTTCCTTTTTTTTTTCTTTCTTTTTTTTATAGACATGTAGTCAACCTTTTCCAGACAAATCTTTTTATGTTTTTAACAATGCGCCATATTGTAAATGGCACTATCATAAGCTGAACAATTCACTCTGCAGAAATTGTGATGCTCCTATTGAAGGTCCGTGCGCGCAGACAATTGAAGGATGGAGATATCATCCAAAGTGTTTTGTTTGCCATGTAAGTATTGCAATTCATTGTTTACTTATGCTTTGCTAAAATAAATGTGCAGTCGCATCTTGATATAAATTCTTGATATCTTCAAAACCAATTACTATAAACTTATAAAAGTACTTTGTATTATTATGTCAAGGTGCAACTGTATTTGCACACAAATATTAACAATTACCAATTTGAATATTCCATTTTTTTAGAATTGCCAAGAACCTCTCACAGATATTTACTATAGCTTTGAGAATAAACAATACTGTGAAATTCACATAATGGAAATTCAACGTAAACGCAAGATTAGGGCAGAAAAGAGAAGAACGCTATTCCAAAATATTTGAGGGTGTGTTTTTCGTGATTATCCACGCTTTTGTACTTTATTTGAACTTTTTTAACCTTTTAGATTAGAGATTGTACCCGGATAGGAGTTGCTACCCAAAATATATCAAAATATATATATCAAAATATATCAAAATATATCAAAATATATAATTATCCAGGTAATCAGAATAAGTAATAATACACTGGTAGGGGTGTTCTCAACGGGTACAAACTCTATTTTAGATTAATTATTTAAAATGTAATGTTAATTTGTCATCATATTCATCTCAAAAAATTCATTTATCTTATTTAACTTTGGTAGTTCTTATTTGATTTGTATTGGCGAATTATTAATATTAATACGCTTTTACTTTTATCAATTTCATCAATTTCATTTCAGTAATTATATACGATATAAGACTTGATGATGCATATTATGTTTTGTTTTTAATATTGGATTTTGAAACAAATATTATGAATGTTTTTATATATTTGTATTTGTATTTCTGTATATATCTGATATAGTGTAATTAATAGCCTTATTAACAATTTTTTGAATTTTACCAGTATATATTTAGGCATAATAGTTTGTATTGTTTTAAACCTTTCTAAGTTGATCCTATATTTGTTTTGTTAAAAATATTATATATAAATTTTTAAAAGTAAAAAAAATTGATTTAAATATAAAAAATCTTTAATTTTGAATATAGTAGCAGAAAAATGTGTGCATCTATTTGAGTGCATCTATTTGCGCAACAGATCACGTAATGTTCATTGACGATCTCAATGAAATTTTTTTATTTTAATTCTACGAATTTGTAGGATTAAAATAAAAATCATCGAATTTTATTAGGTAGTTATCGAGAAACTTTGCTTAATTTTAGAAAGAACTGATTTGTCTATCAATAAAGTGTTTCTAAATTTTTTAAACTTTGAGAAAAGTTTTCCTAACCAAATTGAATGAAAATTCTTTTATTTTATTTCTCCACATTCGTATAATTAAAATAAAAAAGTTTTATCGAATTCGATCAGGAAAAAACTTTGCTCAAAGTTTTAAAAATTCAACAGCACTTAAATTACTAAGGCTACACACACAAAGGTGATTTTTCGTTTTGCATTAAATGTCATTCGAAATTTCGATCGGGGTCGGAATTTGTTTTTTGTTAATCTAAATTAATAGACTGAATTTTCGTGTAGCAAAGTCTTTAATTTCTAAGGTTTTCTTGAAAAAGCATTTTACTTGTTCGAATGATTTCAAGTTCATTAACTTTTAAATCAGTTAAACCATAAGGCATTATAAAACTACATTGAATTTAAACCTATCGGAACTTAAGAATGACTTGTAACCGTAATGGCTATGTACTAATTTGTTATCCATTTTAAATTTTGAAAATTAATAATACGTAGACTTTCAAAACCTTTATTCCTTTTCGAAATAATCCAAAAATGGAAATACTAATAGAATA